TGAGCCCAGGAGTTGGAGGTTGCTGTGAGCTGTGATGCCACAGCACTCTACCCAGGGGGACAGCTTGAGGCTCTGTCTCAAAAAAAAAAAATATTTGGGTGTTGTATCGGGGGCCTGTAGTCCCAGCTACTCTGGAGGCTGAGGCAAGAGAATCACTTGAGCCTAAGAGTTTGAGGTTGCTGTGAACTGATGTCACAGCACTCTACCAAGGGTGACAAAGTCAGAATCTGTCTCAAAAAAACCTCAAAATCTTCTGAGTTCATGCATTGTTATCAATTTGTTCTCAGCATAGCAGCTTTACCTTGTTATAGGCATTTTTTATATCCTTCTTTTGTTGCCAAGTGAGGTTTGGCTTCTCCTTGGAAGTTTCCACTGGGTGCTTGTATTTTGGAAGCTGAATTCAAGTGTTAGCTCTAGTTAACAAATGATATTACCTACCGGTGATTTCAATACTTTTTCCCACTTAATTTCAAATACTTCAAGTCCTTTATTTGAACTTTTCAAGTATTGTAAAGACCCACAGTCCTTTGTGATATTTCTTGTGTGTTTATTTATTTATTTTTGAGACAGAGTCTCACTATGTCACCCTCGGTAGAGTGCGGTGATGTCACAGCTCACAGCAACCTCAAACTCTTGGGCTTAAGCAATTCTCTTTGCCTCAGCCTCCTAAGTGGCTGGGACCATAGGCACCCACCACAATGCCTAGCTATTATTTTGTTTCAGTTGTCATTGTCATTTAGCAGGCCCAGGCCGGGTTTGAACCACCAGCCCCAGTGTATGTAGCCGGCGCCCTAACCACTGAGCCATGGGTGCTGAGCCACTTGTGTGTTTATTTTTATCAACCTTATTGAATTATAACTTACATAAAGTAAGACACACCCATCTAAAATGTATGGTATTGTATAATACAGATAAGATATAGAACATTTTCATTACCATACAAAGTTTCCTTGTGTTTCTTCCCAGCGAACCTTTTCCACTCTCTGTCCCAAGAAATTAGTAACCAGGAAGAGGACCACTTGAACCCAGGAATTTGAGGTTGCTGTCAGATAGGCTGATGCTAAGGCACTCTCACCCACTAGAAATCAGATTAGTGGGACGCTATCTCAAAAAAAAAAATCACATGTCTTTTTATTCATCTCCTGCTAAATCCAGACATAACCATATTATTCTATTTAAAAACAATTCTATTTAAAATACTACAAAGTTTTTCAGTTATATACTTTATAAGATGTATGCTTCAATGTCCAAAAATACATTATTTCTAAGAAACTATTATTATTCAACTATGTTTCTAATAAAGTAGGCAATTTCTCCTACACATCAGCCCACATCTGGAAATACCTAAAATTCAGAGCCTCTAGATTTGGCAATGGCTTTAAATGCTTATTTGTGATAAAATTGTGTTTCTGCAACAATTGAATTCATATTGAAAAAACGTTTTTAAGAGGCAGGGTCTTGCTTTGTTGCCCAGGCTGGTGTGCCATGGTGTGATCATAGCTCACTGTAGCCTCAATTTACTGAGTGCAACTGATCCTCTTGCCTCGGCCTCCAGAGTAGTGGGGACTACAGGCATGTGCCACCAATGCCCAGCAAATTTTCCTTCTTTTTCTTTTTCTTTTCTTTCTTTTTTTGAGACAGAGCCTCAAGCTGTTGCCCTGGGTAGAGTGCTGTAGCATCACAGCTCACAGCAACCTCCAACTCCTGGGCTCAAGTGATTCTTCTGCCTCCGCCTCCCAAGTAGGTGGGACTATAGGCACCCGCCATAATGCCCAGCTGTTTTTTGGTTGCAGCTGTCAACCAAAAAATCTGAGGCTGGATTCGAACCCGCCAGCTTAGGTGTATGTGGCTGGCGCCTTAGCAGCTGAGCCACAGGTGCCGAGCCATTTTCCTTACTTTTCATAGAAACAGAGTCTCAGTATGTTGCCCAGGGTCCTCTTGAACTCTTGGCGTCACTCAGGTTCCCAGAGTGCTAGGATTATAGGCTTGAGCCACCACGTTCAGCCTTTAGGACTGAGTTTATAAAGGCACCACCCCCATTCCTGCGTACTCTGCCCTCATGACCTAATCACCTCCCACAGGCCCTACTTCATAATACTCTTAACACAAGGGATTAGGTTTCAACATATGACTCTGTGGGGACAAAAACATTCAGACTGTAGCACTCATTTTTGGAACACTGCCATCAGAGTTTGCGGTTAAAGTTCAAGTGAAAAAAATGGAAGAAAGGCTTATTTGAATTGGCATAGGATTATCCTTTTACTTCTATGCAGGGATTAA